CAATCAAACCCGCCCTGCAAGGCAACACCTTTAAAGAAAGTTTTAAACCTCATTTAACTGTCCAATTACATTTTCAATAATTCATATTGTTAGGCATATCATTGGTGCTGAGAAGTACAAGTATCTTTTATCAGTTACTAACTTTTAAAAGCAGATCAATTCTACATCTGGAGTCAAAAATATTTAGAGTGCATGTTTTGTATGTGTATAAGCAGGTTTGAAATTCAACCTGAGGTAGTGAAAACCTCCAAATGAACAAAAATGAGCAGAATGTCTTGTCTTCAATTTAAGCTTAACAACTAAAAATCTGTATATCAAAATATGCTGAAGTCATTTTACCCTGTCTCCAAGATGTATACAGAAATGTGCCTTTCTCATAGAAAACTCTCTAGATCCACTTTAATAACCAAAATATTAAATTGCACCTGCTTGTCATAACATTTTTTAAAACATACCGGCAGCAGCAGGAGAGGAGGCTCTGGGTCTTCGGCTGACGGGAGCTGAACAGCTGATTGTCTGGCAGATTTTGAATTCCACCCATCTTCTTTTGGACATTCTCACCAACTTGATCCCACCTGTAAACACTGGCCTGTTTGTGCGCTAACATCGACAGGAAACACAGGAACCCATGAGCATTTGAAAATTCAGCAGTTTTTGAATTATTGATTCACTGAAGGAGTAGTGTGTCAGCATTTACCCAAGCAACTTTATACCGAACTGGCCACAACAAAAGGGAGACAGCAAAGTATCCATTCACTCTCGCAAACACAAAGTCACACTTAGTAAAGCATGAGGTAAAATACGGATCATTTCCAAATGGCTCAAAGTAAGACAGAAAGTAGGCACACTGAGTTTAAATGGAATCAGATAAATCAGAAAATTGTGGGTATCAGAGGGACAAAACCCTACTCAGCTGCCAGATTCAAAAACAAATATATTTAGACTAAAACAGCAGACGCACAATATTTCAAATCTTACATAAGCTGAAGTAAAAGGGTGACACAACCAATTACTTTAAGGGTGTTTATGAGGCGAACATTTACTGAAACATATATGGCTCAGACAAGCTAGTTTAGAAATCATGTTAAAAATGGTTTTTACTTGTTACCTGACGATGCATGACCCAAATGTCTATCATGATATGTAACCTGTCATGATGCAGCAGTACAGTTTTAGCTGTTTATGGGTACATAATAAACAAATGAGAGAGAGTTAGATTTATCCATTAAAGATGCAATATGCCAGTATTAAGACATTGAAATGTCTCATTTTGAGTGGGTGCAAATTCAACCACAGACATCCCACTTATGTCTTCCACTTCTGCCTCTCATCATTTGTGTTTCACTTAAAATGATTTAGAGAGAAACATGGGCCAGACGAGCTTCTCCCGTTCACATCATTATGCAAATACAGACAAGTGCTTAGGACAAGTGTGAGGAAAGTGGAAATGTTGAAAAACAACTGAGACCAAAAAAATGAAATTGTGATTCTGACATAGTATAGGAGCTGTTAGGACAAATACACATCCCCCATAATTTTGGAGCATAGGGTGAAAGCTCATTTGCATACTGAAGATATTACTGTGCTGTGATAAAACATTCATGATTAAATGGAACTCATCAGTAAAGAGTTGCAATGGATCAGTAGGTCTTTCAGAGCCAAGCTGTGAGCCACATGGCAAATGCTGCCTTGTACCTCATGGGAATACTCGGACGTCAGCTGTGTGTCTGAAATGAATAACCTATTCCAATACACTCACCTTACAGGAAGACATCGTGAAAACATCCAGCTTTCCAGGATTCAGAATAAAGCAGTTAAATTAACACCTGATATTTGACTCTGCAAGCTGAATAGTTATTTACAGTGATTCTGTACAAAGCATTATTGATCGGGGTTCTCTTCCAACTGAGGTCATGTCTCTGAAAGTTTTTGAATTTTGGGGTTCTATGAACATAAGAGGAGTTCAATATTTTGTATGTAAACATTACGTTTAATCAAAAAGAAAAAAAAAACAGAAAAAAGGATTTGACTAAAACATATTTCTATAAGTTAGCATTACTATCATTGCTGTATGACAAAGAATATTAACCGTTTGTAGCCTACCATCAATTATGGTCATGCAGTGTGTAGAAAATAATTAAAATAATCTAATAATTAATACAAATAGGGGAACATAATCATGACAAAACAATGCTATACACAGAAACAAGGAAGGCCTACATGGATTGTAAAGTATTGCATATGATGGAGCAGGAGCTTATTAGAAGTCAGTTTTTCATGTGGAACCATTATTTATAATCAATTTGCTCTCTTTTTGCTCTCTTTTTAAATGGCATTTTGTATGTTTGTTTATTATGTTTGCCTTAAAGCACATTTAGTTTACATGTAATTATAGATGGTGACATAAAAACTAGTTTTAGGTAATTTGATTCCATCTAGTGGTTAGAACCATAGACTGAGCAGAGTATCCATATTAACTCCAAAACGCTAGATGGCAATAAAGAGCATTAAGTCTCCATGTCAAGCGCTTGGCACAGATGTAAAATATCGCGAGAGTTTACGAAGTGTCACAGTTTCGTTGATTCGCAGTCGCTGAAAACATGCTTTTCTCACTGGCTTCTTTCTGGTCATCGTAAAACTAAGGGTTGTAAATGGTATGTAATATATTGTATTAAGCTTACACTAGGAGATTGTCACTGTAAGCATACATTATTAGTTGACACTGTGATAGTTAGGACTGTTCCCGCGGACTTCTATTTCAGTTACCGTGAATGGCGAATACAGTTCCTTTTGGTGTCACCTTTGGCGAGTTATTTGTCTTTATCAATTCAGCTTTAAACTCAACATATGTCATTTTCTTGTACTCTCTTAGCTTAAGTTGTCGTCTTGCAGCATCATTATCCTTGTTATATTATTTTGTTAAACTATGTTGTCGTCATGACTTGTTGTTACATTATTTCTAGACTATTATTATTATTTACATTTACACTGAGTTTATAAATCCCCTGGGCCCACAGATGTAAATTAGCTTTATAGCTGACCCTTGCCAAACAATTGTGTTGTGCTACCCGCTGTCAAAATAAGCCAAAAATCTAAACTAAATAATTAATAGATGTTACCATTTACTCCTCTAAGCCTGGATTAAAGCTAGTTAGAGGATACCTTTCAGATTTCATCATGACCTATATGTTACATATTACAAATATTATATCTGTGTACAACTACCACTTGATAATGATCATTAGTATTTGTTTGTTTATTAATTATGCAATGTTAATTTTCTCTTTTAGGTCCAGTGACACTAGGGTCATTGTAGCCCTACTTTTAGAGAATGTCAGCACTATCTGGAATGACGGCTCTCCTCAGCCTCCATCGATCACTGACATTGCAAAGCCGCTTCATGCCTGTTGTAGCACAGTTGACATCCACCTACCTTGCGAGGAGGCTTTGCAGCTCTACTAAAACAAATGATGAACCAAAGCTGCCAGGCATCGAAAATGAATCTTTGCTGGAGAACCTGAATCTCATGGGAGTTGATGTGAGGAAAGCGCAGGAGCGGCAGCCGGGGGTGTTCCGCAGAGCCTTTACCAATGAGCAAGGTGTTTATCAATTTCTTCAAGGTAAAGGTGCCAGCCGCAAAGTAATCGCTGGAATCATATCACGTTACCCCCGTGCAATCACCCGCTCGATCGCACACTTGGAGCAGCGTTGGGATCTGTGGAGGAACATTTTCAAGACTGATGAAGAAATAGTGAGCATCCTGGATCGTTCACCTGAGTCTTTCTTCCGCTCCAGTGATAATGTAAACTTGGAGAAGAACATAGCTTTTCTGACCTCACTGGGACTGAGCACCAAAGACCTCCATCGGATGCTGGCAACAGCACCCAGAACGTTCTCCAACAGGTTAGAGCTCAACAGGCAGATGGTGGAGTTTCTGGAGGACATCTGTTCTGAACTCGGTGGAAAGAATCCTCCGCTTTTTGCCAAAAACATCATATCCAGAAATCTTTACATTCTCATTAAAAGCACTAAGAGGGTCAGGACAAACATGAACATCCTGAGAGCTTCTCTCAAGTTAAGTGACGCAGAACTGCTCGTTCTCTTTCAAGGCCCTGGGGCAGAAATCCTGGACCTTTCCAATGAATACCTGAAAAGGAATTTGAACTGTTTAGAGCTGAAGATGGTTGCACTTGGCTGCCAAAAAGCTGACATGAACAAACTGATAATCAGTTATCCATTGGTTCTGTACATTGGGCCAGATACACTGAGCTCTAAGCTGGACTGTCTCCTACAAGGAGGCATAACAATAAAGCAGATAATAGAAAAGCCAAAGGTTTTAGACTACAGCACACAGAACATTAAAGGGCGACTAGAGCAGCTGCATAAGGTGGGATACGACTTCCAGAGGAATGGCATCAACATCCTGGACTCAAGCAAGAAACGCTTTGATGCAAAGCTGGAAAAACTTGCAGCTTTTCCAGAATAATATATGTGATAATGCTGAATGTTGCTTAAACTTCACTTCAGAGTAATCAGTTTTTCTGAAAATGTCATTTGCTGTTGTAGTTCAAGATATTGTTCTTCTCTGATGTCTTACAAAATATCAGAGAGGGCAACACTTTTGACTTTCATTATGATTCATTCTGCTTGATATTATTCTTGACTACTTTTTACATAGCTGAAACTTCAGAAAATAGTGGAACTTAACCGTTCCTTAAACCCAAATACGCATCTTCAAATTGCTTGCTCAAAGCAATGCTCAAGAAACCCAAAGCTATTTGATGATTCTGATAACAAACCTATAAAACCAACCATTGTAAATAAGACAAGGGGGGCAAGGAATATATTTCAATTGAAGTTTGTGATTCTGTCTTGAAATAAAATTATATTTATATATTAAAAACAAAAAGTGATGAGCAAATGAGTACATGTTTCATAGGTTATTCACATTTTATCTGTTATATGAAATAAATATCCTGCTGCTAATATCCGGAACCAATGGCCGTCGGGTTACACAACACGGACCTCAGAAAACTGATGCACAACTGTTCCATCACGCTTTTGGGGTTGTTTCTGTGTAGGTATGACAGTGAGCTATAGGCAACATTAAAGTCAGCTTTTTTTTTTAACTTCTGACAATATTTTATTTGACTTTAAATCGATTTTAAATGTATTGGCTAAGCAAGTGGCTGTTTGCGTCAACAGCTCTTACGTTAGCTGTTAGCCTGTTAGCATAGAAACAGCAAAGCATGCGGCTGTTTACTATTAACTACTGGTAACATTTAGTCTAATTAAAGAGGCCAGTTTTATGCTTTTATAATTGCTTACTTTCAGGCCTATTTCTATGAATTAATAGATAAGTTTAATTGTCTTGGTTGTAATACAGTTTGGACTAGGAGAGAACAATTTAAACATGAGGCATGTTAAGCAGTACATTCAGATTAACTCAGTAAATCATGTATCGACGTGTTTCAGATTAAAGGATTGGAGAAAGTCTATAAAGGTGTGATGGAAACCACGGCGGAAGAACATGTTGAAAAGAAGAAAGATGTTGCAGTAAAGGGAGAAGCTGCTATCAGACAAGAGTAAGTAAACGACACTGCAGGAAATGACAGCTAATATAAGATAAGATATACTTTATTCATCCCAGCAGCAGCCAGCATATATACAAACACACAACACAACACATATATACATACATATCCCACCCATACAAAAACATGAGCCCACAATACATAGCCAGGATAAAAAAGTGGTATGGATGGTCCATGTGCATAAGTAGCTGTTACTCATAGATAACAGTATAAAACACTAGCTCTGCCAGTGCATAGTGTGATAGATAAATAAAGAATTGTTATAAAAAAGCAGTCAAGTGTGCAAATATACAGGTGCAAAATACAGTTTGATATATGCAGCTCAGGCTAAAGTTTAAAAGTTTAAATGTCTTCTGTCCTTACTGAAAGGGGAGTCGTTATAAAGTGCAATTGCAGTAGGTAAAAAAGTATTTTTAAATCTGTCCTTTTTGCAGTTTAGCTTGTCAAGTGTCCAAAGTAACACTTGTATTTTGACTGTTTTTTAAATTGTCAAACAGACATCTTATTTTTAATCCATGTATTTTAGGTGACGCAAACGTTTTGCCGAAAAGCCCTAATCTGCATTAAGTGTTGTCTGTCATCTCCCTCTTCATCATGTGGGTCCACATTTGAATCACTGCTGACACTTCATCAGTCTGTGCCCTGCTTCATCTGGTTCTGTTAGGCATATAGAGAATTACCCTTAATATTGCATATTGCATCTACTGGCTTCCATCCAGAACAGCAAAATATGTCTTCTTCCAGCAGGGCAGAATGTGTGTGTAACTAAATGCTACCCCCACACACATAGCAGCTTAACACTGAATGCTGCCTTTTCTGATGGAGCCAACAGGACTGCACAGTAAACGAAAAACAGCTTGTAAAACTATATTGTAAACACCTGACTTCTTGCAAAGTGTATCAGCTTAGATTTCATACGTCACAACAGTGGCCTTGCACAATTTCTACTCAGGTTATCTTGTATGGTAGGTTGTTACATCCCATTCTTTTTTTCTTCTTGCATTTTCAGATTTCTAACAACCAAAGAAAACTTTCATGGGTTTGTGGATTCTGAGTGGCAGGTGAGAAACGGAGGCAAAGTTTGTGAAAATGACAAAGCGACGGCGACATCTGTTGAGGAACCTGAAGTTAAGAAGATCAAAGTGGAGCCTGAGGAGACAAATAAATGGGGAAAACAAGATGGTAAACGACATCGGGGACAGAATAAGTCGAGACCTCGCACCAAAATTACTGCTTACGATGAGAGGCGCCTGTGTCTCTCAGTCATTCAGGTACGTAACTCTAACCAACTATCTATAAAAAAAAAAAAACCCAATTATTATTACTATTATATACTTATTGACATTATCCCCTCCGTGCAGGACAATAGGGAATGCCCCTTTGGAGCCAAGTGTAACTTCCACCATGACGTTGCAGAGTACTTAGCCACTAAACCTGCTGACATTGGGGAAAGCTGCTACCTCTATGATACATTTGGAAAGTGTTGTTACGGCCTCGCCTGCCGCTTCGCCAAGGCCCACACTACACCTGACTTTAAAAGTATGGAGAACGCAGACCTCATCAAGGCCCATGAGGGCAGGACCGCTGTGAAGAACAGCCTGAGTAAAGACCTCCAGATTAGTCTGAGGAAGCGCTCGGTGGCCTTCAAGAAGTCAGAGGAGTACCTGAGTACACTTTCAAACAACAAAGACAAAAGAGAACAGCACGAGGAAGGTAAGATGACTGAGGAGGTTTTTAGATAGATTCTCTTTAGTGAAACTCACTAAAACATGATTTAAAGGGGGCTGCAATGGCCTAGCAGTTAGGTCGCCTCCCATGTACGGAGGTCCAGGTTCGAGTCCGACCTGTGGCTCCTTTTCTGCATATTAATTCCCACTCTCCATCCCTGTTTTCTTACTCTATCCACTGTCCTATCTAAGGCAACAACTCCAAAATAAGATAAAACAAAAAATGAATATATACACGGTCTTATGGCAGTAAAAATGTCCATTTGGAATATTGTTAGTATTCTTTGTAAGCATGAATGTTTATTTTTACTGAATCTGTCCAGTGGATTCAAATTATAGCCACGCCGACCAAAGTGCAGTTAATAATTATAATAATAACAGCTTTCTTTATATAGCACCTTTAAAAACAAATGTTTACGAAGTGCTGTGACAGACAAAGCAAATACAGCAACATGACAACAGAACAGAGATCAGCAGAGGGGCCAAACAGAGAGGGCAACATTGTAAAAATGCAAATAACAGGAATAAGAGAGATTCAACAGGCAGGTATGGAGAGGCAGTTCAGTACAATGAAGGAGAATTAGTTTAAAATCAATCAGGAGAAAACAAAATTAAAATTGAGGGAAAGTGGGACGACATCACATCACAGGCTGTAAACACAGAATGAAGATAAAAAGAAGGGATTACCTGGAGAGTGGTTAAATTAATAAAGCAGCAGAGAGCTCAAGAGTTAAACGATAAAAGGAGTAGGAATTTAAAAAAACTAAGAGCAGTAAAATGAATACAGGAAGGGATACAATTAAAGGCTAAAACATTTAAAGAGAAAGATAAAAAGCAATAAAATTAATAAAAGGAAGGGATAGATCTTTAAAGGAGAAATCACATAAAAGCAAGTCTATAAATGTGAGTTTTAAGAAGTAATTTAAAAGGAAGTGCTCTTAATTGAGCACTATTAAAGGCTGGGTTCAGTCAGTGTTGACTTTCCATATTTGATGAAGAATTACTTATTTTAGCATGTTGAATTTGAACAGAGTCATATTAGTATCACATTTCAGTCTTTTGACACACCCAGGTAACGCTCCTGTCCTTGAAGTATCTGCAGATCAAACAGAAGGGGATCAGCATCAGTCGACTGAAACAGAAACAGAGGTATACATTTATACTTAGACCACTGCCTTCTTATATATTTATAGCCCATAGATTGTTTTTTGTAAGTCTATTTACATGCTTGCTTTGTGAAAAGCTACAGGCAAGCCCAGATAAACAGCCTCCACCAGTGAGGACTGTCGGCCCACTGACTGATCAGGACGTCGTCAAGTTGCGCATATGTGAAAAGAAACAGGTACGGTTCCCAGCCGAACATCTTTTTCTCCAAAAGTTTTTTTTTTAGTCGTTTTAAATAATACAAGTAAAGTCAGTAATTCCCTTCCTCGCTTAATACATGTACCAAATTATAAAATGAAAGCCTTACTAATAAACAAACATCTCTGGGGCAGCACTGCAGGTAAATAAATGTTGTATTTAAGTTTTCTTTTTTTTTTTAAACCAGTAAGAATGTTAAGTTAAATCCTTGATGTATAAATCTCTTCCTATTCTTATTTTTTATATTTCAAGTGCTTATTTATGTATCTATTGTTATATAGTTTTATTTGCTTTGATAACATGCTGCTGTAACACCACAATTTCCCAGTTTGGGATCAGTAAAGTAATTCTGTTCTATCTAATATCTCTCCTTGTCTCTGTGTTCAAGGTGGACTTTCAAGACAAGCTCTACCTCGCTCCTCTAACAACTGTAAGTTGTTCCAGACTGAACTGTAAACTGGGGTTTGATTTGTTTTGTTGCAGATTCATGTTTGAAGTGGTTTAGTTTTTAATTTCATTCTAAAATAAAACTCTTGGCTCATCAATAAGGTTATGAACTGAAGTTAAGATTCCCTCCTCTCTTTAGTGTGGAAATCTGCCTTTCCGTCGTGTGTGTAAGCGCTTCGGAGCAGACATCACCTGTGGGGAGATGGCCATGTGCACAAACCTGCTGCAGGGACAGCAGTCGGAGTGGGCCCTCTTGAAACGTCATGAAAGTGAAGATATTTTTGGTGTCCAGGTGAAGACATTAGAGATGATCTATTCTGGACCATTCAGAACTCCTCAGTGTGGTTAAATGATCATTTCTGTGTTGGCTTCTGTTCTAATGTCTTTATTGTTTCTGCAGGTGGAGGGCTGCTTCCCTGACACCATGACGAGGTGTGCAGAGCTCATCAACAACAACACTGATGTTGACTTCGTGGACATAAACTCTGGATGCCCCATTGACCTTGTCTACAAGAAGGTGAAATCATTCAGATTAAAGGACATTTCACTAATGTTTGCTCCTCTTTATGTTAAAAATAACTTTATTTATATAGCAGCTTTTAAAAACACAGGTTTACGAAGTGCTTTGACAAACAGCAAAAACGAGAACAAACTAAAGCAAACACAGAAGAACATAAACAACAGCAAGAACATAAGAAATGCAAAATACTAAAAATAATTAAATACAATTCAACAGTAAAGAACCCATAGTGCACGATACCCAACAGACATATATAACCCGACCATCACAAGAACCATCATAAGAACCATCATAAGAACCATCACAAGAACCATCATAAGAACCATCATAAGAACCATCATAAGAACCCAACAACACGAGCTGAGACCAAGAGGACCAAAGATTTAAAAAGATGTAAGAAAGTAAAAGAGCTCAAAGCAAATCAAAAGAGAACAGCAATAAGAAGGTAAGAGCAGGAAAAGAAATAGAAACAAGTGAACAAATTATTTAAAAAAAACCAATAATATTAATAATTATAAAATTATGTTCAACCTTAGCAGTATACTTTCTAGCAGCTTTGTTTATTTGACAAGCATTGTGATTTTTAAAAACAAATCAGCATTAAAAGTCCTATCTGTGCCCTCTGTGGTTAATAAAGACCAAGTTACAAAGTATTGCTGAAGAACACCTGTCTTATGTGACAGATAATAAATCCATGTTTCTCTACTGTGGTAACAGAATCAATAAACAGTATGAAATAAAGAAAAGGTAACAGAGAGAGGCCAGTTTAGATGAACTTACATGGTGCTATCAGGAGCAGTGTTTCCCCTAGGTTTACAGTTTTGGGGGGTTGGGGACAAGCCGATGCTGACACGACGACACAAACACTTGACGAAATCTTGGTGTTCATGTGTTACTTTTATTGACAGACGTCCTTTTCTATCAGAAAGGTATCCTTAAATGACTTCTTTCCCTGATTTACAACTATATCCATTATCCTATCTCTACAATAAAGGCACAAAAAGCCCAAAAAATAAAAAAAAAAAAAAATTTTACTTGACCTTCAGGGGGGGCCGTTGGGGGGGGGGTTTCCCCTACCATTATATTGGTAGGGGAAACACTGAGGAGTGAATGGACTGTCTTTTTGTTCTTTGATGGAGTGCATAAAACACAGTCAATGGTATTAACTATGAATATGAAACTCTTAACCGATGGTGTTTTTCTGTTTTTTCCTCATCAGGGTGGAGGATGCGGCTTGATGACACGCACCAGAAAGTTTGAACAGATCATCAACGGAATGAACTATGTAAGTGTCGATCTTTCTACCTGATGCATATACGTATATAAAGTCAAAAGGTTGAATTAAAATATTTCTCACCATAGGTCCTTGACGTGCCTTTGACAGTCAAGATCCGCACCGGTGTTCAGGAGAAGTGCAACGTAGCACACAAGCTCATCCCTGAGATGAAGAAATGGGGCGTCTCAATGATCACAGTAAGTCTTTGAGACACCAAAAGGGATGAATTATAGCAAATCTTAATTTAATGATATCATATTTACCACAGTCATCTTAGCACAAGTCTTGTTTTATGTGTCGTGCGGGATCTGTCTCTCTTTCTCTGTCAGGAAAGTTTTGATGCATTAATATGATTCAGGATTTTAGTGTTGATGCTCTTGTTTTCCTTCTAGTTGCACGGCAGGTCCAGAGAGCAGCGTTACACCAAATTGGCAGACTGGGATTACATCACCACTTGCTCCAATCTGGCCAGTCCTGTCCCACTTTTTGGTATGTGGATACTTATAAGATTACAGCTGCATCAACTGCTAAACAACATAATTTGTGGACAAACAAAAAAGCATTATCATCCATTTTAGGGATTTAATGGTTGTTAAATAATGTACAGGTTATACAAGGATTGATTGCAGGTGATAATGTGTTTATTTTTCTAGGGAATGGAGACATTCTGTCCTATGAAGATGCCATGAAAGCCAGAGAGACTGGAGTTTCTGGTATTATGATTGCCAGGTTGGTGTCACATTCTGCATACTCAAAATATTTGAAACTCATATATATGGCCTCTTTTATATGCTGCTTTACTTGAAGCATGCAAAACAGTAGGAACCATGTTTAGAAGCTACACAACTAATTTAAGAAGCACATATTTGACATAGATAGATAAAGATAAAATGTTGAATCAGTAAGTTACTGCATGTCTAACTTTTGTTGTGGTTTGCTGTCTTTAGAGGCGCTCTCATTAAGCCATGGATCTTCACTGAAATAAAGGAGAGCAGGCACTGGGACATCTCATCCGGTGAGCGTCTGGACATCCTCAGGGACTTCAGCAACTTTGGTCTGGAGCACTGGGGCTCGGACACTCGTGGAGTGGAGAAGACCCGCAACTTCATGCTGGAGTGGCTCTCCTTCATGTGCAGGTTTGCAACAACACGCGCGTTGTCAATATACTGTAGTTCATATAATAAAAGCAGGCATTGCTGTTTGTTCCTTGATCCAGAAATAGTATGAGGTTGTTATAAAATGATTTTATCATAATTTATTGAATAAACAGATCAACTGTTTGTCCTGACTGTCCTTTAAAATGTTTTTGATCTTACAAAAAAAAAACAATTGTAAAAAATATTGGTAAGGTATTTATGTATAAAATGGGCTCCAAATTTCCACAAGATGTAACTGACTTTCTAAAAGTGCAATACTGTATCTTGGCTTTACAGATTAAATATCTGGCTGCTGGATTGAAATGTGGTGTAATGTATAAAACTTACACCTTAACTTCATTTGCACTTATATCTGTGAAATCCCTGTTAGGAAAAATTGAAATGCCCTTCTTTTCACAGTCCCATTTAGTGAATTAGGATTAAAGATTATACTTTTCTCTCTTTCTCTCTGTCTGTGCCCCTGTCTCTCTTTCTCAGGTATATTCCTGTGGGTCTGTTGGAGCGAGTGCCTCAGAAGATCAATGAGCGACCTCCGTACTACATGGGCAGAAACTACCTGGAGTCACTAATGGCCAGTCAGCATGTTGGAGATTGGGTCAGGATTAGGTGAGCATAAAACTGTCTAAACTGTTAAGAACAGTCATTCAAAGTGAAGCATTAAATGAATCATAAATATAAATGTATACTGACTACTCTCTCTGCCTCTCTCCAGTGAAATGCTACTTGGACCTGTGCCAAAGAACTTCAACTTTTTACCCAAACATAAAGCCAACGCCTACAAGTGAATGTGTCTTTCGATGATTGCTGAAAAATAAATCATGTTTTTTGTTGTTTTTAAAAATTCTAATCTAATAAATTAAATTTTAGATTTTTGTTTTTTGCTTGACCTGTGGTGCAGAAGTACAACACTTGCGCATTGGTGTACTTGAAATATGCAATACATTCTTTTACTATACTAAGAAATTCTGTGTCTTCATTATTTCTGATTAGTCATAACAAAACAAGAGAACATTCTGTGATGCTCTGTAAAATATTCACATATATTGGTAACATGAATGCGTAGTTTAAGGATTTTGTCCAATGTCAATCACAAGCCATACATATGACCAGTTTATAATGTACAGCTGTGATATTTTTTCAAACAAATCATGGGTGTGATAAACCCTATCCGTAACAAGCTGGGATGGTTTTTTTACAGACTTGACAATTTTTCACTTTTATTATTATTTCTGGTAACATTTTTCAGTATACACAAAGATGTCAAAATATTAGAAACACGTAAACTTTCTGTGTTTATACAATATGTAGAAAAGCTAAATCTTTCACGGCCTCAGCAGCTGTTGGAGGGCTGCACCTGGATCCATGGCACTGCATGGGTTTGAACTTCTGGTGTTCCTGGTTGGGACTCTGCTGCAGGTTACAGTCCAGGGATGGGAGCGGATTAATGAAAAGGAGCTTCTTATAAGTTCCAGACAGGAGAGTGGAGTCAGCCACAGAGCAGTACAACACCAGGTATGACTCATTAACTACTCTTCTAGATATGGATGGGAATGTTCTGGCTTGACTCTTAACGCTTTAAGGCTTTTTTTAGCCTATGGGGACATGTCCTCGTCAAAATTGTTAGAGCTTAAAGTATCAACCTCTTTCACTTGGACCTCGGAAAGGTTCTTTGTCTGGGCTGTGCAGACTCTTGAATAGGATAATGTCTCAGACTGCTGTCTTAAACTTCTAACAATTATTGCGTTCTCCTGTAGATGAAGCAGCGTTAAAGTTACCTGAAGGTTGAGGGCGCTGCCACCAGTGAAAACTCGGACCCTTCTGCTGGCTATGGATTTGAGGCAGTCGTTGGATATTCTGGTCCACCCAACTGGGACAGTGGAAACGATGGAGGATACCATGTGGAATATGTAGATTCCCCTGATACAAACCAGCAGCGGTACATATGATGGTGGCATCCAGACGGAATTTGTTGCTGCCCTTCCAAAGAGCTGGACAGGAAGTAGTCCTAGCACTCCCAGTTCCAGTGGGTTAGATGTGTCTTGCCGTGAAGATGGCTTTGAAATTACTCTTGACTGGTCCATGAGTGAAGTTAAAGTGTTGGGTATGTACTCTTAATTATGCGTTGTAATTGGCTTGATGACTTTGTGTTGTGTGCTAACTTGGCAATATGTTCCCTCCCCAGGATCAAAGGACCTGCTGTCTGTCATGGACGCTCCTGAATCGTGTGGTTATTCGTGAATCTTTTCATGAACACCCTGAGTGTACCCTTCACTGGATGCAATGTGAAATGTGTAGGTTACTCTATACACAATTAAATGCCTAAACTTTAATCTGCACAATACTAAAAATGTAATTGACTGAAAATGTAAGGCATCTTGGCCTAAAGCTATATTTTGAAATTGCAGAGTGATGGCTATAGCGTGCAGTTGTTGATGAGTTCGGTCAGACACAAGTGACTACTGCATCTTGTAAGGGGAATCCAGAGTCTGCTCCAGGCACGTCCCTCTGCACCAGTGATCCATCCAAGCCCAACAAAAAGTGCAGTAATCCACCCATACAAATGAAGGCAAAAAGTGAGTGCCAACTTCAAAAGGTTGCTTATTATTGAACACATTTTTGTTTTTAACGTTGGGGCAGATAATTTAAAATGTTATATCATTTTTAGATTGTGAAATACCAACTGCCTTGTGGTCAGGTGGGACTGTCTTCCTCAGATTGTGAGAAAATGGGATGCTGTGTTGGTTCTTATATCTGCCTGCTACTACCCAATGGATGGTAAGACTTCTGTTAGCTGTGGTAAATTATCTTTATACACTTTCTTGCATGAAATGTCAGCAAGTGTGTATTGTTTGCAATCTAAGTTCAAAGTTACAGACTGTGGCGCTCGGGCTTATGTAAGTGTTCAAACCACTACATCTAAATTGAAGTAATCTTTTCCAATTCAGCATTGCAGGCCAGGGTTCTATTAGACTTATGAATCATGTTGACTTAACACCTTCCAAACAGCTGTATCAGTTCAGCTCAACACTTCTGTTTCGTATCATGTACAGAGTAGCTGCATGGACCACAATTGACGCTTCAAATACAGACCATTCAATAATTTCACTTTTGTGAGAAACTTATCCAATTGGTATAACATCTGCTTCATGTATTATCTTTTCTCCCCAAGAGGGAATATGAACCTGCTGGTGGTCTCTAATAACTGGTAACTCTTGTGTTTTGTATATACTCCGAACTTGTGAACCTCACTGCATTTGTGTGGGATTTTTGAGACTCCCCTACCGTGGTTAGATTCACAAATGCATTTTTTTCAGCAGGGAAATGTCTGTAGCCAATCAGATGTCTCCTTCCTATTCAGCCAATCACAGTAGCGTAGATTCAAGGGTATGTTTTAATGTGATCACTTTAGCGTTACATCTGCACAGACAGTGATTAGCCTAGCTATCAGACAATCTGATTAGGTCATCTTTAATCTGACCAGCACAAATAGTCTCTGTGATTGTCGTACTGTATGGAAAGTTGTTTATCGTGTTGGCTATATTGACTGCGTGTTGGTTTAACTGGTGTTGAATAAACTGGTGATATTCTGGCCGATGTGTTGGGGCCGAGGCTTTTCAAGGACCCATTGTTTACTATGTTGTTGTTTGTGCTGAATCCTTCTGTGTGCATTTGTGAATATTGAGACTGATCTAACTCCATAAGTATTGCCCTTGGAAATTTACTCAAACAATATTATAACATCTAACCAAATTATTTTTTTGTTACTAGGCACCATAAGGATTTGCTGCAAAAGAACTTGAGGATGATTTATGATATGAAGAATAAAATTATTTCAAAATACAGCTCCTGGTATTGGTGGTTTCTGTTAAACTTGAACGGTACTGTGGTAATAAACCTGTGACTCTGTTTGCTGGAGATGCAATAAAATTGTTGATTCATTAATTATTTTTCGTAAATTCAGAGTTCTCCTCTGAAGAACAACATTGTGCAAATGTCACAAGTTCAAAGCCCAGAAAGGTTACTTGAATAAAAGTAGTCTAGTACTTTTAAATAAATAAATTCTGTAGAGCTATCAACGATATAAACATTGTGGTGCTGGAAATGTCAAAAGATAACAAAACATGAAATTGAACCTCTGGGAAGTATGAAAACAGTTATAGTTGCATTCACCTTGGTGTATCATTTGAAACCCTTTCTACCTCATTTAAAAACTCAAGTTCCGTCTTTGAATCCCCTTTTGTAAATCTAAAATGAATAATACACCTTGGAGTTAACACATGGTGAGGGTAAGGACCCCCTGGGGCACCAAGAGGGGTTGTGAGAAGCACATTCTATAATGCATGAAGGAGCACTCAGTGCGGTGCCACAGATGTACAGTATATGGTAGAAAATGGGTTTGCAAAATGCTGCCCCTCTAGGCTACAGCTTGCCACTAGGCAAGTTTATTTATAGATTTATCTTGCATCTCTGTTTTCATTCATTAACGGTTTCCACTTTCTTTGATAATTTTCTTGTGCTTGACTTAAATTGTTAACTGTTTAAATTGTGTGCTGTCTTAATAATTCATAACTTATCTATCTGTAAAGCACTTTGCATTTAATAATTATTTATATGTGGTAGGCTATCAATACAACTGACATGAATATGTTTCTAAATACATTCAAACTTCTGCAGGCTATGTTAATAAAGCGTTGTTAACCTGTGTATATTTTCCACAAAGGCTTGCTCTCCTCTGTGTACTGTTTCTGAACCATATGGATCAACATGACCAAGCATCTGCCGCTTACCCACAATCCTTTGCAACAAAACACACTCAACATTGCTACTTCTGTGCATACTGTGCTTACTGGGCTGGTGGTGAAGTGTCTGTTCTCTCAGAAAAACAACATAAACCTCGTCAGCTACGTGTCAGAAGAATCTGAGGAAGCGCCAATCAGGTGAGGAGAGTCACATCAGCTGGACGGAGATAAACACGAAGCTTGTTTTAATGCTTATTTATGTATACAACAAAATATGTATCAAGAAAACACTACCCTTAATTCAGTGTAACGTTAGGGTTATCCAGCTAACTCTACTTTAGTGGTATTTAGATAAGTTTGGTAGCGAGCTAATGCCACCTAGCTTGATATGTAACCTGTCAGCTGTTTCTGTTAAGCTAGCTCGAGATTTAATGAACTTCAGGCGTGTGAGAGATCGATGATAACCCTTTATGTAATGTAACTCTACGGGATAACTATAAAGTAAATATTTGTTTCACTTATGGTAGATTGTATAATATAAAGTTTTGTTCTAAAATCAAGTGAAGACCAGGCCATAGGTTAAAATGTAACTTGAAGTCAACATTAGCTATTTTTCTTTGATGTTGATTCATATTTGTATGAGGGACAAAAAATGACTAAAGTATAAATAAATAAATAAATAATTAAATAAATGCATACAATAATGTATAAATAAATAATTAAATAAATATATAAATATATAAATGCTGAAAACAATACATCAATGAATAAATAATAAATACACTTCGTTATTCATTTATTAGCGTATTTCTACAGTTATATATGTATCAATGCATACATTTCCACATTAATTGAGTTATTAATTTATTTCTGTATTTTTACATTTACACATCTATTTATTTCTGTGTCCATGTCGTAAGAGGAAAAGTATATGTAAATTTGCTTCTGTCTGTTTTTCAAAATTGACCAATCCTACTTCAGTAATGTTAGAGCGGCCCACTTAATTTACATATTTACTTTTCCTTGTACAACATGGACACAGAAATACATAAATAAATATATGAATATATTTATTTATATATTTATTGATGCATTTATTTAATTATGTATTTATTTATACATTATTGTATGCATTTCTCCCAACATGTATTTATTTATTTATTTATACTTAAGTCATTTTTTGTCCCTCATATATTTGATGCTGATTGCAAGGGAACAAAAGGAAAGTTCCTGTATCTAATTCATGACTTGGCATAAATTCAGGACATAAGGTTAATCTCAAAGAAGTATTTGTCTTAAGAAATGATATGAAGGCTACTGCTCAAATTGTCCCAGTTAATAAGCTAAATCTAAATGTACACTTTTGAATGAGACCTTTCTTGTAACTATTATGAATTTACGTTGCCAGGATCTTTTTTTCCAAACTGTAACACCGTGAATAATTCAACTTTGCTCAATGCTCTAAAGTTTCATGTATTTTTTTTCTAATTTATCACAAAAAACCACAGGATATATAAAGAAACACATCAGTCAGCTGTGACTTTAAATGTTCCAAAATGATCACCAGCTTCCTGATATAAAACATGCTGTTATGGGACTATGAACACTTTAGTGTGTGTGCATGTGAGAGAAACTGTAAATGCTGCTGCAGTCAGCAGGTTTACAGAGGGCGGGGTTTTGTGCTTCAATAAGACTGCAAAGGGCATAAGCAAGGATCTCACTCCACTCTGCCTCTCTTAACCCTCAGCTTCTGTCGCTGGCAAAGATGGCTCATCTCCCAACACTGTTCAAGTATGTGGACGAACACCAGGATCTGTACGTAAAGGTAAGCTGAGGGAGTTATTATGTTGCACTTCAATGTACAATGTATCAATGTATGTGTTGTGATTAGATTGCAGCCAAAGGCTTTGTCTACACCTGATTTTAATTGTTTTTTCATCTTGATTGCTATGCAGTTCTATACCTCATTCACTCTTAGTGTGTGTGCGTAATGGCTTATACCAGAGCCACTGAAGCAATCGAAATAAAATCAGTTTATGTTTTCATGAAATCTTCAATACAGTTAAAATCAAACTGATTTGAGTTTAATTTGAGGGCTGGTGTGCTGTAGCTGTCATAATAGAGATCTGTATGCTTAGTCACATTCACTTTAAGGCTGAACATTCATTCTATCCTGTAACACCCTCAGTGTTCTCTTCGGGGGTATATTCACATTTTCATGAACGTTTCCTTCATTTCCTAGCGCCTCGCAGACTGGGTGGAGGTCCAGAGTGTGTCTGCTTGGCCAGAGAAGCGCGGGGAGATCAAGAAGATGATGGAGATGGCAGCCAAAGACATCGAGAGGCTGGGGGGGACGGTGGAGATGGTGGATATCGGCAAACAGGAGGTTTGTTTGCAATTTGTCAGTCGTCAGTTTGTTCTTTGTTTCTGTTTTTAACGGCTTACTCTAAAACCATTGTTATTCTTAATTTGGCTCTTTAAACTGTTGTAATTGTATAGAACGAGCCCACACTGTATATGTCACCCTTTCTTTATAATACTGTTGTATTTGTCCCTGCATTCAGCTCCCCTCTGGAGAGGAGATCCCCCTCCCTCCTATCATCCTGGGTCATTTGGGGTCCGACCCGGGCAAGAAGACGGTGTGTATCTATGGCCACCTCGATGTCCAGCCAGCCAGCATTGATGACGGCTGGGATACAGAGCCTTTCACCCTGGTTGAGAAAGATGGTGAGAGCAGAACTTGACTTTGACTTTCTCTTTTAGTTAGGTTTCAATTTGATCCTGGAAGTTTGCCAGTTGAAAACAAAACAAAGCTAACGGAAGATTCTGAAGTAGACTGGAATGTGTTTTTGGCTTGAAAGAGGAGACATGTTGTGATTAACTTTGAGGTTTCTGTTTCCAGTCCAACATGTAATGATATTACGCCTTCTTTTGGCAACCTTCATATCAAATCTCACTGAAACAACAGAGGGAGGAAAGTTAAAGGGACATGTAGTTAAACTGAGCAATAAACCAATAAGTTAGTATTGTAATGATTTTTATAAAGGCCTAAGTATCATATAACAGTAACTGTGAACTCCTTTTTCTGAGCACAGAAGTAGTTTGTATCATCATGACTAAAAAGGTAATGTGTTGTTTAGATACTCTTTGAGCTTTTATCAGCATTGTACTTGTGATCATATCACAGTTTGCTACAAAGTCCATCTCAGTCACCTTGTGGTTCAGGGTTGGGAGGTGTCCTTATTCATGTCTTATCTGCAAACCCCTGCAGGCCAAGATGAACTAATACTGATGTATTTTAGTAAAGCAGTGAACAATCGGTTTCATAGAAACCTGAAGGTCTCGAGGAAAGATTTTATTTTCAGATCACAGATGTTGCTCTGAAATTTTGGATTTACTGCTGAGCCGTCTTTTATTTCTACTGCGTGAAGACCCTGATATGATGATATGGTGTGTAATTTATCAGCACTTATTAACCTCGTCAGCTTCTTTCTATGCTGTTTAACCTGACAGATGAAGCATTGAAGATAAGGTTTCTTATCTGTAAGGCTGCAGTATTAAGACACGTATATAAATGACATTGATTTTTGATGACCTTATGATTGTACAAAAATAAGGTCAGTTTTTTTATGCCATTAATACAGAACCTCTAGTGGTCTTATGCAACTTCTGGTGACTGTCAGCTGACAGAAAGTAACACATCCTCTTCCTCTCGTCTGATTCCTTCTTGCTCGGCTCTGATTTCGCTGATGTCGTCTTTCTAAATCAGCTGTTTGATTGTTGAAGTCTGTTCACACTAATGTGTGAACAGACTTCATGGGTTTCTAACACAATAAATTAATAGCTGGGTTTACAATCCCACACAACAGAGATAGTCTGAATAAAGAGGGCAACTTTCATTTATCAAATATTAAGATCAACATTTTCTATAACAAAATTAAACATCACATAGAAAGACCTAAAGTATACAGAACTTTATATGTGAAAATCCAGACATAAGACACCATTCTTTTTTGCTTTTGAGACAAAGTTAACAGAGCATTCCAAGATTGGATCAACTGTACGCTACAATTTCACAGTATTGTTGCCCCTTTTCAAAAGACACTTCATCCAATTCTCAGAGCTCACTCAAATCCACTTGAATATTTTTTAAATAAACCAAAAGCAAAGACCAGTGGTATAACAAGCTCTCAACAGGGAAATAGAGGAATCTCAGAACTCTTTTAAAAAATTTAATAGATAAAGGCTTTAGAAAACAAAACAGGTATAATCAAATTGAGTTCCAGGTGTTAAAACTAAAACCACAGTTTTGTCTCTGCAGGTAAACTCTATGGAAGAGGCTCCACTGATGACAAAGGTCCGGTGTTGGCCTGGTTCAACTGCATTGAGGCTTACCAGAAGCTCCAGCTGGTGAGTTTGGTCTCTAACTCAGGATGAGTTCACACTGCAGGAAAAAGTGACCGGAGTCTGACTTTTATTGCTCTTATGTGTCTCAGATCTGATTTTATAATGACTGTGTGAACAACACAAGTCACATGGAATTGGATCATTGAAATCAGATTTTCATATATGGATCTCCACAGTAGTCTGATACAGGCCACATGTTAAAAACAATGTAAACAGCCAGACAAAAGAATCAGATCTGAAGCAGAAAATCTGACCCTTGCAGTGTGAACATAGCCTTATAGTATCTTCCTTTACCATTCACTAGGCACTGCAATTAGGGACACAATTTAAGTTTCAAAGATCCCATTTGCAGGTCCATTTTACAGTTTTACTTTAAATACTTTTCCCTCTAGGTTAAAACTCTAGGTTAATGAAACTCTCAGTAAAGCAAAGGAGCCAGGCTGTCTGACAGTCAGGGAGAAAAAAATAAAACCTCCTGCCAACACACTTCAATAGATCCCATCACAGACTGATTTACCTTTAACAGTGTTATGACACAGTGGAAAAAAAATCTCCAATGATGTGTAGGAGTCAAAATGCTTGTTTTATTTGATCCTTGCAAGAAACCTAACAGAACACTATGAATTTATATTTGAGTGTAATTCTGACACTGAACACTAGGTGGAGTCTTGACTTATGCTGTGCATAAAGCCTCCAGACTCCAGGTATTTGGATTCAGCTGTGTGTTTGGAAGCATATCGTTTTTTGACCGTGTCAGGTTGACTTGAATGTAACGGTTTATGCTTTATGATGTATTGGACAGAATGAGACATTTATGTGTATTATTTAACCCCGATCATGAACTATAATTAACAGATTGAAGACTCTATTGGAAAAGAGTACCAGACATTTGTTTGTTGCAACGCCAGGTGCACGCGTCTGGATATAGCGCCACAATTCACATCTCAGTGGTGACTGCTTTGGACAATATAGGATTTGTTTTTAAAATGGTCACCACATGATGTGTGCATTTAAATCCCAAAACAAAAGGTGTCCAGTTCATCAATTAAACACAATGTTTAAATGACACAAATATTATTTTTGTATGCCGTGGATTATGAAGTGAGTTTCCAATATGATCCTGTATCACTCTCAGTGATGGATGATATCCATGTAAAGGTACAGAACTCTTTCATGTTGATGACTTCAGAGTCGTCAGCAGGATAAGGGATCAAAGGTCTCTGGATGAAACGGGTCAATGTGTCACATGTTTTATCAAGCCATCTCTCAATGATTAAGGAGAGTCACGTCACCTGCTTCTTGTTCTTAACTACTGTTAGTTTTCTATGAAACAGGAATGGACTCTTAACTAATATTGTTTTGTCATGGTCTTGGGTTGAAACTTTATATTTCTCTTCATTCTGCAGGAGCTTCCCATCAACATCAAATTCTGCTTTGAGGGGATGGAGGAGTCTGGATCTGAGGGTCTGGATGAACTGGTGTTTGCTCGTAAAGACACCTTCCTGAAAGACGTGGACTATGTCTGCATCTCTGACAATTACTGGCTGGGCAAGACCAAACCCTGCATCACCTATGGCCTGAGAGGAATCTGCTACTTCTTCATTGAGGTGGAGCTCCATTGTAGAGCCGTTTGATTTCATAGCGTAGCCAAATCAGAGTGCTCTCCAGAATCTTGTCTATCTGTGTTTTTAATGCCACAACCTTTTTGTTTGTTTATTCAAAGGTGGCGTGTGGTGACAAAGACCTTCACTCAGGGGTGTTCGGCGGCTCCGTTCATGAAGCCATGACTGACCTTATAGCGCTCATGGGCAAGTGAAGCTGACCATTTAACTATGATGTGATCAAACACATTTGAACACCGGCGTGTTGTAGAGATGTGGATTAGGAGAGTTTAAACCTGTTTTTTGTCTTTTTATAAACAGGCTCTCTGGTCGACAAAAAGGGGAAAATTCTGGTTCCTGGCATGAATGACGATGTGGCCCCCCTCACAGAGGAGGAAAGAAATCTGTATGAGAAAATTGAGTTTGACTTGGATGAATACTGCAAAGATGTTGGAGTTGGAAAGCTGCTGCATGACACCAAGGCAAGGCATCAAATATATAAATGTGCTGCTCTGCTCTGAATGATCACACTGTAATTTATTATAATTTAAGCCGTCTGGTTCTTTTCTTTCCCTGTAGGAGAAAATACTGATGCATCGCTGGAGATACCCGTCTCTTTCCCTTCATGGTATTGAGGGAGCTTTCTCTGAAGCAGGGGCCAAGACGGTCATTCCTCGCAAGGTCATTGGCAAGTTCTCCATCCGCCTCGTCCCCGACATGGACCCCAAAGTTGTGGAGAAGCAGGTAGACCCCCTGCAACATTTCACACTTTTCTTTGTGACCAAAAACTGTTTGGATGTCAAAATAACTCACAGTTGTCTCTTTCATTATCAAGGTTATTGGCCACCTGGAGAAGAACTTTTCTGAACTTGGAAGCCCCAACAAACTGAAAGTGTACATGGGCCACGGAGCCAAGGCCTGGGTCTCTGACTTCAACCACCCACACTACATGGCTGGCCGAAAAGCCATGAAGACAGGTACAAAGGCTGAGTAGAATAAGACTTATACAGTGTGTATGATAGAAGGATAGAGTCGCTCAAAACACATACTTCCCCTCTCCCTTTGCTTGTCACAGTCTTTGGTGTGGAGCCCGACCTGACTCGTGAAGGTGGAAGCATCCCCGTCACCCTGACCTTCCAGGAGGCCACAGGACGTAACGTCATGCTGCTCCCTGTGGGATCCTCTGATGATGGAGCTCACTCCCAGAATGAAAAGCTCAACAGGTATAGAAATGGGAATAAGCACAAGTGTTGATAAGTTAAGATGTGATATTGGGGAAAAGAAAAGCGATTACACATGACAAATGATACATTATTTTAAGGCTGTAAGTTTGTTGTCAGCTCCTTAGTCTTTATAGATCATCTTAATAATTAGTATAACTAATGGCTGAACTTTTCACTGTTGGAATAAGCTCATCCTTATATTTATCTTTTCCATTTTCAGGACCAACTACATTCAGGGAATCAAGATGCTGGGTGCATACTTCCATGAGGTGTCCCAGCTTGAATGAAGAGCTGCATCATTATGAAAAATGTAAAATATGTTCATTCTCACTCTAAGAGCCATAAGCTTTGTGGTATGATTTACCTTCCATAGTTAAAAGTTTTATATTCACTGCCTCCTGATAATAAAATATTTTTCTTTGTTACCATGTGTTTTGCTTTCATTAATCCCTGTTTTTTTCTGTTACTGCAATGCACTACATATTTACTTAAATGCATAATCCACAATAACACTGAATTAAAAAAAATTCTGCTATCAGTTGAAGAAATGCATTATATAAAAGGTGTTTATAGTTTTGTTACAAATAGCTGATGAGAACATGTTTTATAGTCTTAATGGCTTGTAATAGTAAATATGGGTATCATTGTCACATAAATCCAACAGTAAAACCCGTCATGTACAACACAAAACCCCAAGATATTAAGTTTAGCAACCTGCTTAACAGATTATTAAACTAATAAATGTGCTTTAAATTATAACATACGTACTTGAAGGCCTTAATTTGATGCTTACTTTTGTTTGAACATTTAAAAAAATGTAAGGTGTGGTAATATAAAGTGTGAAATAGAAATGCTCAAGGAAAGTACACGTTATGAATATAAATGCTACTATAAAGCTCATAATTTTGTATTTACTGTAAATTTAAGTGAACATAAGTGTCACTGTCCCTTTAAGAAGGAGACGGAGTCTATCAAGAGTGTATGGCCAGTGAGAAGTGTTGCCTGGTAGGCGAAAACCAGTAATAAACAAAAACATTAAAAAACAGAAGCGATTACAAAGATTTACTCAGAGACGAGTTTTTTTTTTTATCACTTTTGTGTTCTCACTATGATTACGTTCTCCACCTCGTGGATTAAATAGACGTGACAATATAAACCTAGGTTTTGTGAGGATGGGGGATATAGAGAAGGGCCTGGCAACCCGTGTCATTTTTTTTCTTCAGCGCGGGAAAATCGTAAACAACACACACGGCAGCAGGAAGCCCATTAGCTGCACTTGTCTGTATATCCTTAAAGTCCTCCCAAGTTGTTATAACATTCACCGAAGAAGAAACTCAGCCCTTAAATGGTTATTTAAGTTGTGTTTGTAACGCTAGCTTGTTAAAGTGTCGCTGCTATCAATAGAAACATAATGTCAGTAAAATCTGTGTTATAAGGAGTGTGGGATGGATCGATACAACGAGCTCAAGCTTTTGCTGAAAAACTGGGAGCAGGGATTCGTCTCACAACATCAGAGGAAACCGAACAAGGTGATTTAAACGTCAAAGCTAGCCTAGTAGTAGCAGACTTGCCGGGTGTGTAAACGGAGTTAGATCAAATACATAGACGCATGTCTGCTTAGGGCTTCCGTAACTTTCACATGATGCTAAAATGTAATTATCTTACACTTTCAGGAGGATATTGATCAAGCTTCAGACGACACAAGGAGTGAGTGAAATCCCTAACATTCATTCAAAAGATAAACAGATAGATCCTACATATTAGGATCAACGTCCCTAATATTAAGGCCACCAATTGCATTAATTAGTATTAAAAGCACAGTTTGACTCTAATTGCAGAACTATACAAAGAGTACCGTGGTTTGAAACAAGCCAAAGAAAACCACAGCAGTGATGCATCGGGTCGACATGCTGAACAGTCCACATCTACAGCGGAGGTCAACACAGCCCAGAAGGTAAAAAGGTGTTTGGTGTGTAAATAAATATGAAGAAAAATAACTAACTATCTGCTTATCATTGATCTATGTAGGAAACAGACTGTTGGGGCTCCCATTTGAACCGAAGTACACTTCCTGCATCTTCTCCCAAACTGACGACCCAGGACAGAGACAGCCTGAAGGCCTCCGCCCAGTACTATGGTCTAAAGCTCAAAAGCAACCTGGTTACACTTGGCAAGGTGACACATGCTTATCAAACCATACACTGTGAGATTTAGCTTAAAGAGACAGAATGCTCAATATATCAAAAAGTAGTTTTTTTTCTGGGGTTTAGCACTATTATCATGTTTTCTGATACCAGGAGAGACCGATCTCACTGAAGAAGTCATCTGTTCCTGGTCGGGTACCTTTCAACTCCTTGAAAGATGGAAGACCTGGAAGCACAAATATCCCTGTTGCTGCTGTCACTGCAAAAACAAAAACAGCTCCTGCAGTCCCTGAATCTAACCCTTTCTCACCAAGGTAACAAAATATTTCAGACAATCTGCGTACACAAATTGAGCTATGGACTGATATGTATATTCTAGAAATGCTGCCAAATATTTTTTGTTTCATTACATTGCTGAGACACATGGTTCTGTAGTTTTAAGACTTTTTTTTCAATGTAACTTTTCAACACTTTTCATCTCTCTGATGTGCTTTTATTTGTGTGAACAAGTTGCTGTTGCGAACAATTCTGCCTGCATCATATTATTTCAAAGCTTGGTAGTCATTGAAAACCATTTTTAAACAGAATGACTTTTTATCAATTATATAGTTCTATGGACTTTCCTTGTAACTGTGTCTCTGTTTACAGAGGGGGACAGTTTTGCCGACAGCACCCGGATTCACCGACCCAACGTCCAGTGGAGCCTGAAGATCGGTTTAAACCATTTGAACCTTTTAAAGAGCCTTGTGAAGAGCTTTCAAGTGCTGCCAGTAGTTGCAGTAGCAATATTGATAGCAAGAGTAGAACATCTAAAGTTGTTAGTCCACAAAATGGAATCGTCTCCAGCGTCTCATCTCCAGCCAGATCTTCTGCTCTGTCGTTGTCGTTTTCTCCTCGTTGTAGTGTAAAAACTTCAACAGGAGATCTTGTAACTACTGGACATGTAAATGAAGGCCTGGGAGCCTTAGAAGACAAAACAGAAAGTTTTGAAGCGGTACAAACTCCACATAAGGGTTTTGGTCCTTTCAATGGCTTGAGGGGAAGCCCACAGATTCCTGGGGGTTTCAGAGGAGGGATGGGAGGAAGGCCCTCTCCTGCCAGCAGATTTGGCTCTGTCGATAGAAATTGGTTGGAGAGGTGTCAGGTGTTTGGAGAGATGGGGGCCGACGAGAGGCCTGGGGCTGGCAACCAGGAGATAAACCTGGAGACAAAAGGAGAGAAAGAAAGGGGAGGTGAAATGGAAGGAAAGAAGCAAGGAGACGAAACAGTTGGCAAAGTGGAAATAGATGCAGCGGAAGAAAGACGAGAGGCAACAGAGTCAGAAAGAGATGGAGGGGTTAAAAGCGTTCCTGGTGACAACAGGGTTAGTGAAGGTGCATTGAAGAAGGCTCCACACCACAGTGAAAAAATCAAAGGAGAAGGAAAACCAAAAAGGACAGGAAGTGAACAGATTGGAGGAGGACTGACGCCACCTTTGACACCAGAGGACGACCGTGCGAGTGGTCACGAGTCTAAAGTCACAAAGAAGAGAGGGAGAAAAAGGCAGCGAGAGGGTGAGGACATTGAGGGAGAGACTACAGAGGAGGGAGGAGTGAAGAAGAGGCGCAAGAATGGCAAAAAGAAAGAGGAAGGCTCTGATGTACCAGCACCAGAAGGAGGGAAGAAAAAGAGAGGTAAGAAGAAGAAAGATGAGGAGGAAGAGACGGAGAATGAGAAAACAACCAGTGTACCAAAAAAGGTGAGACACATAGTTAATATTAATCTGATGCAACTTTATTGTTTTAAAATTGTCTGCTCACTTATTAAATACATTATTGTCCATGTCAAGGCTCCTCAGGAGAACTTGGTAGGAGAAATGCTGGATGAATATGAGGCCAAGAAGATGTATCACAATCGGCCTGTCAAAGCAAAGTACGACCAGATGTTTCCCTGTACATTACACTCTCACAATGTGTTTGAAACATCTGCTGTTCTGGTCTTATTACAAGAAGAATCTGTGTTTGTACAGAAGCACCAAAGTGCCAGAGGGAAACTTTGTGAAGATTAACCTGAAGAAGAAATCTCATGTCAAAGGATACGCTCTCAGAGGTCTGGGTCTACGTAAACAGGTACATTTTCTTTTTCTTTTATTAATGCATGTAGGTTCACCAGTATTTAAAAAAAAAAAAAAAAAGTTGTTATAATTGAAACTTAATTTAAGGGAAATAAAAAAAATAAATAAAAAAAAGTGCAAAAGCTATTTATCTAATTTCTTGACAAATGTCTCAAAATGTAACCAATAACCTCGTCAGGAGCAGAAGTATTAGTGTGTTCTTGTTTAGGCCTCGATCCAAAAACAAATAAAATCTAAAGACCCTTATAGGTGTGAATATTCACTGCTGTGGTAAACGTACCGTGTGGCTTGTAGCTGTACATGCAGAAGTTCCAGCTGAAAGGCGAGCGTTTTGGTGGAGGTGGTGGATTCTTTGGAAGAGGAGGGCGAGGTGGATTCAGAGGAGGCTTCAGAGGCGGCTTCAGAGGCGGCTTCAATCGTCAAGGTGACACCTGTTACAAGTGTGGAGGGACCGGACACTGGGCCATGGACTGCAAGGGACCAGGTAATACAAAGAGATGCACAATCACAACTTCATAAACTAAAGGCTGACTTTTGGGGCGGCTGTGGCTCAGTTGGTAAAGTCGTTGACTCTCAACCGGAGAGGGTTCGATCCCCAGCTGGGCAACATGTCCGTTGTGTCCTTGGGCAAGACACTTAACCCTGAATTGCTCCCTCTGCTTCAGTGGTGGTGTATGAATGGGATTAGTTACTTCTGATGGATGATACTACATAGTGATCACTACCATCAGTGTGTGAATGTGTAGGTGTGACCTGCAGTGTAAAAGCACTTTGAGTAGTCAGAAAACTAGAAAAGCGCTTTACAAGCTCAAGTCCATTTACCATTTACTTTATTGGCTTGCTTGAAAAAGTCGACAACTGTTATTTTTTTGGAATGTTTTTTTTTTTGTTTTGTTTCCACAACACAGTTTTTCTTCAATACTGACGCTCCAGCTCACGTGGAAGTTTAATTATCTCAAGATGAATTCTTTCTTTTTGTGGTGTCTTGTGACGACTCTTACTTGAATATGTGTCTTAATAGATGAGTGCCACAAAGACAGTAAATAAAGTTATTATACAAAACTCTAAAGAGAACTTCTTATTCTTGTTTTTTTCTGTTGACAAACTAAATGAATGAATATCTCTTGACTCTGGTTTTGCAGCCCCTCCCCCTCCTGTTTCCGAGGAC